GATGCCCAGAGGAATTGCCTCGATCAGAGAAGTGGGCAGCACACAGAGGAAGCCATTATGAGACATCTTGGGATATCTTGAGCCATCTTGGAGGTCATTTTGGGCTCTCCCAGACGCTCTTGGAGTCATCTTAATCCGTGCCCCCCCCCAAGAGGCCTCCATGTGGCTAAAACCTGTGTAGAATCAATGATTAGGCATTCTCGCCGAGGCCTCTTGGAGCATCTTGGGTGCATCTGGGGGGGCTCTTGGGGCCTCTTGGGGGTCTCTTGGGGGCCTCCGGGGGGCCTCTTGGGGGCCTCTTGGGGCCATCTTGGGGCCATCTTGGGACCTCTTGGGGCTTCCTGGGCGCTTCTTGGGGCCATCTTGGAGGAGATCGATCAAACAAGAGGGGGGGTTTAATTAGCGTCCCCCCTCGGAAGCCCCTAAAATCGCCTCTTGGACCCCTCTTGGAACGCTCTTGGAGTGCTCTTGGGCGCTCTTGGGGCCGTCTTGGGGCTCTTTTGGGGCTCTCTTGGGGCCCTCTTGGGCCATCTTGGAACCATCTCCAGGCCTCGGATGGCCATCGGAAGCGAAAAGGCGAGAAAGCAAAAATCATTGATTTTCCTTAGGTTTTGGGACGATTTTGGCCTCTTCGGGGCCTCCTTGGGGAGCTGTTTGGCCACTTGGAGTTATCTTGGGGCCGTCTTTGGGCTTCTTGGAACCATCTTAGGAGCCATCTCGAGCGATCTTGCGCTATCTTGAGCCATCTTGGAGCTCATCTTGGGTTCTCTGAGGCGCTCTTGGAGCCGTCTTGGGCCATCTGGGACGCTCTAACTACCCGCGGCCCCCCCCGTCCAGGTCCAGGGGAGGGGGTAGGGGGAGGGGTAAACCCCTCCCCAAGGGGGAAGAGGGAGGGGTGGAAGAGGATCTGCTCTAGACCACCTACGCCCAGAGGGCTGGTGGGATTTCTTTGGGGAATCGGGGTCACCACCGAGTGTGTCTCACCACCTGGTTTGGAGACCACCAAGTTTTGTGTCGAAGATGGAGCAATACCATAAACATAAACTTTCGGAGCTCCGCGCCAATTTCCTGGATCGGCGCTGGGCCCCCCTCCCTGGCGCGCGGAGCGCGCCAGGGGCGGCGCCGTGGGCACTGCCAGGGGGGCCCTAGCTCAGGAGGGAAAAAAACACAGACACAATTAATCCTCGATTCCCAGGAAAATATGGGAAAATATGGGAAGTGGTGGGAAAGACACCCCCCCAGAAAATATGGGAAAATATGGGGAATATTTTATTTGTGTGTATTTATTTGTGTGTCCTGGGGCCCCTTCAATGATAAAGATAGGTTCCGAGGTTTGTAACAATGGGTTCCGAGGCTTGCTAGGTTTCCAGGATCTCCGATGCTTCCTGATGGTTCCACGCCTGCTGCAAGAACAAGGGCCGCCAGATGTTCTGGAAATCCCAGGCCGCATCCGGATCCAATCTTCTCATGGCATCATTCTCTCCAGGCTGCTGTTCATGCCATCGCTTGTTCCCCTGCACCTGAGGGAAAGGATTCCCCTCCCACATCTCCCCCTCCCCTCGACTCCGAGCCCGTGCCGCAGCAGTGCACGGCAGTCTTCCGAGCGACACAGTTCGAGAATGGGAGGCAGTCGCACTTGCCCCCCTCCTCCTCCTCCTCCTCCTCCTCCTCCTCCTCCTCCTCCTCCTTCCCTTCCGGAGCAGCTGTCACCAGATAATTAGGGAGACGAGAGGAGACCCTCGACTCCCAGCTCTCCCTGCCCCTCTTTCCCCCTCCTAGCCCTTATCCTCTCCTCTCCTCGTCCTCCTCGCCCCGCTCGCCCTCCCTCACCCTCCTCGCCCAGCTCTCCCTCTCCCTTTCTCCCCCTCCCCCTCTCTCCCCCCTCGCTCTTCCCCCTGCCTCTCTCCCTGGCGGCACCACTGCCGAGCACGCAGCCAAGCGCAGCCCAGACCTTTGCGGACGGAGCGGCTCGCGTCAGGCTCAGCCTCGTCTCCTCTGGCCCCCCTGTCTCTCCTCCTCCTCCTCCTCCTCCTCCTCCTCCTCCTCCCCCCTCCTCGTCCTCCTCTCTCCTCCTCCTCCTCCTCCTCCTCCTCCTCCTCCTCCTCCTCCTCCTCCCCCCTCCTCCTGTCGCCTCGCCTCCTTGTTTCCAGAGGAGCGTTTCCAGGATTTCCCAGCACGTCCGTGGCAGTCACACGCTCTAGGATTTCCAGCATTTCCAGGACGTGGGGATGTTCCACAGGGCTGCGGACACGAGGGCCGCCAGGTACTCCGCAAATCCTGAAACTTCTATATCTATACATATATATATACATACATACTCTGAGCCGATCTTTGCATGACATCGTTCTCGCCCTGCTCTCAGAAGAACCCGTGGCATAAATATTCACTTTCGGAGCTGCGCGCGGATTTCTCGGATCGGCGGTGGGCCCCCCCGCGGCGGCGCCTCCGGCGCCGCCCCTGGCGCGCTCCGCGCGCCAGAGATCTGGACGCCCGGGATGGG